TTTGGGCGGGGGGCGTGTGTTTTTTGCTGTTTGGGCGGGGTGGCGTGCTCATTTTTCTGCTGTTTGGGCGGTGGGTCGTGTCTTTTTTTGCTGTTTGGGCGGGGGACGGGAGTTCACTCACTTACCGGTCTGCCTGGCTCGGCTTTCAGGGGCCCAACAACACAAAAGACCAAACAGCAAAAAAAAAAAGAATCCCCATGTTGCATGAGACACAAGCATAAAGTCTGCCTTTGGTATCTGCATAGAGTCTGTCTTGGGGATGTGGTTTTCTTGCTCCTCACTTACACTGCGTTCCTCGAACAGTCCCGCCTTTGGGTGCCTTGCCTTCAAGGACCGCAACGCGACTTTGCAGGCGAGCCACAAGCGCCTCGCTGAATTCTGCCACAGCCCACTCAGGTGGTCTGACAACATCTGTTCCGACAGCCATGCCGTGCATGACATCTTAATCTGAGCTGCCTCGAGTTCCTGTACCCGTGATTCAGCAGCCTTGCGCCGTGCTACCTTGGATGATCTCGCATGTGCAGGCTGCGCAGGGCAGCATGATACGCATGATGCCAATCTGATGTGCCGCGGCCTCCGCTTGAAAGTTGCCCTCGGCCTTGAAAAGATTCAAGAAGTCTAGGAAATGCTAGCAAGTTCTTCTCGTTCCATTTGCAAGTCAACTGGGCCTGCTGGGCGCATGGTGCGACACCTTGCTAGGCAGTGACCAACTCTTTGAGAGTGGTACGGCTTGCAGCTGTGCCTGCGTAAGGCGCCCTTGGCATCGGCTGCCAAGGGGCATTGCCGTTTGGATACGGCACCTGCCTTGCAGCTGTGCTAAGGTTCTGGAAGCCAAGCATAGCTTAGCACGATAAGCTCGGGGCACACTCGCAGGACTCCACGGCACCCCTGCCTCAGCAAGCAGGACTGAAGGCTCAAAACGCGACACGATCCGTGCTGGGCACCACACCGGTCGCGGACCTTGACACCATGCGATTGTTTGAGATGTGCAAAAATAAATTGACGTCACAAGGCGAGTCCTCTGCACAGCCCGTGGCAACTTGAGGCAACTCTAACCCTCCAATCCCTTCCCCCTAATATTCAGCCCCCTCATATAAGACAAGGGTTCCCCAGAAGTCCAAGTTCTGAAATCTGCCCCCAATACTACGTTTAAAAGGGCCAAGGCTAAACTTAAATCCAGCTCGGATCCTCTGAATTAGGGAGGGTCCCTAGCAAGACTCTTAAGGATGAGGGATCTTCTTGATTTCCTAGATTTGGGTTGTTTTTGAATGGTCTCTGTACGGGAACTTATATAAAATATGAATGTAAGTCTAATTGGAGTTGGGCGTATTGCGATTTTAAGCCGTTTTTAATTAGATTCTAGTAAGATGGTGAATAATTCGATCTGAACTGACTCTAATTAGATTCTACTTAGATTTCGATTAGATTGTAATTAGATTTTCAATAGGTTAATAGACTGCAATTGGTTTGATTACGTGTTTAATCTGGGTTTAATTAGCTGTATTTTGAGTTCAACAGCTGATCTAAATTTCGAGCTTAATTAGATTTGATCGGTATGTTATTCGATTTAATCGATTTCAGTAGGATCCTATCATATACCCCTCTAATGTTCGGGTAGAACGATAAATGCCCCCTAAAATGGAATACGGCTTGGAGTACAGACATTAGGGTGGAGGAGGGGGACATCAAATTAGGGGAAAGAAATTAATTAGCATAGATTTAGATAGAAGACTCTAAAACCGTTTTCCACCGGACTCGATGTATCAACGTCACTCGATGCCGTCTCTGCGAAAAAGTCCGAGGCTGCCGCCCGCAGTTGCTGGCGCAAAGCATGACATCACTGGCTAATGTCAAACATACACCCTGTTTTTGCGGCTGCACTTGCTTGAATACGTCTACTTGTTTGAACTCGTATGTTTCAGGCTGCATGAGCTTCATCTTGATCGCCAAAACGACTGATGTAGACTTTCGAATCGCAAAGGTCAGCTGCTGATGCGAGGCGCAGGTCAGAGCAACAGAACAACAGGCCAGTGGCCGGAAAACAGTGGTCTCCTGTGTGGGACAACTGTGAGAGAGGTGTGATGACGCAACTAGATTGTCCTCTACAGCATGCAAGTCTGTGCCTGTCAAGCTCCAACCAAATTAGACCAAGCTTGCAGTGAAGGAAAATTGAAAGCAGAGGACGAGGATTTGCAAACAACGCTTTGTCCTCTCAGCTCCAGTACTGTTTTCTTTTCTCTCTTGAGCCGGTCAGCTGCTTTGCGTGTACACTATCGCGAAGTCGTCCAAGTCAAAGCCAGCAAAATACCTTCGGATGACTGAGCTTGTAGCACAATGGAACGTGATTCTGTCTAGGACCACGCATATTTGGCTCACTCTTGCATCATCCCGGCACGGCTGCGTGGCGTGCCATGTTCAACTGTTGCTCATTCTGCGACTCTATGCCATGCCGCACTTTGCTTGCCCGCTTTGTTTGCTCCACTTGGCTCCTGCAGCGAATCCTGTACTGAGATGTACTGAGCTCTTGTGGGGCGGGTTGCATGTCAACACAAGGATACCAAATGCAAACCTCCCACGAGGTCTTAGAAGTCTTGGTCTGCATCTGGGGGGCTAGCATACTGCTAGCATGCATTCATATTTGTCTCATCTGAATCTGAAGGGGCATGGACCTTGTCCGCTCCGTGACAATCTTGTGCATGACATTCACGACTCAAAACCCTTGAAAACCAGAATTCAACACAACTTAAGGGAGGCTTCTATACGTCTCTCGCTTTATATAATACATGAACACTACATTAGGGATGCAACGGTTCACAGCAGATCAAGCTGCAGGCAGATGAGGAGGGCATTGATCGCTGCTACCATGGATGCCAGGAGCAAGGCACCTCGGAGCCCGGAGCAGACACTTCCAAATGATAAAAATGTGTTGAGAGCGACTTTGCCCGTTCCTTTTGTCGCTTTGGTCTCTTTCGCTGGGTCACCTGGAGGGTCCAGCTTCTGTCTGACCATTTCGTCTGAATCCTCCTCCAACTCACACAAGACCTGCAAGAAGCTCAAGTGCTTTCAAAGTGCTTTGAAAGGTGTGTTCCGAGCGCCTCTCTCGCAGGCGATGACCACGGCCACGGCATACTCCCGGGGTGCAGCAGAACGAGACGATGAGGGCTCGTCTCGACCCAGGATCGCGGCAGCTTTACAACTTGCAACTTGATGACCTCAGCCATGCGAATGTGCCGTCTGCAACATGGGAGCACATTGTTTTTTGTTGCCCGCCTGTTGCGGGAACATTACATTAACATCATCCTGACTGCAGCAATAAGTCATTCAGCGCAATGTTCCGGAGTCGTTCAAAACCGCCTGACCACCTGTGCCGAAGCTGAGCACTTTCAGAAGTCTGCACACCCTGGTAAGGGGGCAGCCCTTCTGCTGCAGACATGCTCCGCCGGCTGCCAAAACTTGTGCTTGTGGTTCAAGACCTGTGGCTTCTTTCCGGTGTCTTTGTGCGGGCGTGGGCAAATCACTGCAAGGCCCGGCACTCCAGCTTTGACCACAACAGAAATATCGATTGCTCTGCTTGAAAGTTTGTTCAAAGTCTTAGCAAGTAATATCCCCCTGTTCCCAAAATTGATCGGCTGTACAGAAGGGGTGCCTCACGGCCACAGGTGAGGTTTCCATCTCTAACCCCAACTCCGCGAGTTGTCGGCAAAAGTTCCAACAGGTCCAGCTTCCCCAACATCATTTCCTCCCCTCTTTTCGCCACCCCCATCATGCAGATGTGCTTCCATGGAACAAACGCACCGTCTTCGAGGATAGTGGGGAGAAAGCCAGGATAACTTTTTAGACCCCGCCAATTCACTTGGCTGAGGCTCTGCTGTGCTCGCTTTCAGCCTTTCAGCAATTTGTGCCGGCGCATGCATGCAGTGAGCTGGCCATTGGCAGAGCCAAGCTTCAGAGAGTGGTGGGGCTGGTGAGGAGCAAGGGGCAACGAGCTCATCGTGTGGTATCTTGTGGTCTGCCTTGCGGCCATATGTACACAATGTCGTTTTTGTCAGTGCTAGGGCCTGGCATGCGCACATTCAGACCGTGCGGGCTTCCCCCGCGCCTGGCCCTTCATCATCCCCACTCACGCCAGGTTCACCGAGGCCTGCATGCTGTGTATGTTAACCCTGACAATACCGAGAACATACGAGAAGGAATCCATCCCAGCCCTATCTCAGCAACGTCTGAAGCGTTCAGGCCACCTTGCCGACGTGGTCCAGTGGCAGCGCACACCTGCTACAGCAATGCCTGCTGGGTGGCCGTCCTTGCTGGTGACAGGATTCGGACCGGAATTCGGACGAGCTATGAAGCTTTCCGTCAGACTACAAATAATCTGCTGCAAATGTTGACCGCAGGCTTGTCTCAAACTTGGCAACTTCCCATATGACTAGAGCTCAGAAGCAGCAGAAAATCATTTGTGAGAAGGGCTAGGATGGTCAAGGAGAAACGGATAGCAATGATGCTGATGGGGGTCTGGAAGGACCTGTCGTTTCGGGTGTCAAGAAGCGCTTCGACTAAGCCGACTCCAGCCCCCTGAGATGAGACTGGCCAGTTCCGCAAACAAGCTTAAAAACTGTACACCAGTACTTGACCGGTTCGAGCGCGTGAGATAAGGGTCAATGACCACAAACGACCCGAGAAGTAGCCAACTGACTGAAAAATCCACTTGCGACCAAGCTTACTGTGAACAGGCCATGTTGGCAACGTGGAAAGACTTTGACAGAGGCATCCTTCAAGTGCATCAACTTGCAAATGTGCCATGCTTGCGATGCTCGCGTTGGTCGAGTACACTTCTGCGGACCAGGCACCCACAGGCTGTGACGCTCAACAGTGACAGACGTGACTTCGAAGTGCATAAAAGGTGTCAGCAGCAGCTCGGGAAGCTCGGGACAGGCAGCATTGCCAGGCAAAGCTGCTCCCCGGCCAGCGGCGGTTTGGATCACGAAAAGAACTGGCACGCCCTCTGAGCCAAAGAGTCCGCGATCACAGTCTTGTCGAGCGTAGGACTCCGCAAGCTGACGATCTGTAGTGGTACTTGCAAAGGCATGCCAAGTGACAATACGCCCCACCACGTAATTCTCTGTCACATGGTATTCTGGCAACCGCATGCCACGATAGAGGCTTCGCTTGGCTGCATAGGCTTGCTCCACTGTCTGCACATACGTCACCAAAGCTTTCACAACGCACCCATACCTTACAGCTCCAACGTTGCTCTGTGAATAAAGGATCTGACAAGAACTTGGTGCAAATTTAGTTGCTCTGCGAAAAGTGCCGGCCAACTTTGTGCCCGCATGAGCCTGCAAGCCGGAAAAGGTTCCATATGTCTCCATGCTGATCTTCCCTTACTGATCCTCAAGTCATCTGATGTCAAGGTATCCAGCCTATGAATCTCCTTAGCCAGGTGCGGGTTGGTGGCGTAAGCAAAAGCTGCTGCTTCCGCCGCGCGCGTCAAGTCTTTCGCCTCAAGTCAATCTGTCAAGCTGCAACAACCTAGTTACCGAATTCCAGTCACGTCAAGGCAAAACGTCTGCGCCCAGCTAATTCGGAGTCTTTCGATATGCCGCTTCAACAATCACAAGCATGTCAGGCTTGACGGGTGAAGTCCCTGCTATGCTTTGGTAGATGGGTGCTATGGCCCCGCTAATCCGTGCTCTTGATTGGGCAGATTCGGGGTCCGAGACTACTTTAAAGGCAGAAGTGGCAGAAGCAGTTTTGGGCAAATAAACGCTAGATTCAAATCAAATTATGAACAGCACAGGTTTAGGTTTGAGGTCTGATTTCAAATCCTCAGGCTCCAAAAGGTAAAGCCTGAACTATGAAACCGCAAATCCCGAACAAGGATGCTGATTCTGAGACCTGAATTGCTAATTGAGCTTCATTAGCAATCAAAGGCTCAAACATTGCTTCCTGAGCTACCCCAAATGGATCTTGCATGAGAGGATCTTTGTTTAGATTAATGGAAGCCCCCCAGAATAATGGCAAATATGTTCAGGTCGTTAGTTTCGCAGCCTCTTTATAGTTGGAACCTTATTCAAATCAAAAAATCTATCCGAGTTCTAAAGCAATCAAGTTCTAACGAAACAAGAAAGCTTCAATGGAAATCCGTTCAATTTGAGTTGAAGCAAGTTCCCTATCTCTTTGAGCCAACAAACAGTCAAACAATGAAAATGAAGGTAAATCGAAATGAAACCCATCTAAGTTCTCATGGTACTCAGTTCAAAACCACTCAAAGTCCAGAATACTTTGCATGAATAATGATAATCAGCTCAAACCACGTAGTATTTAATTATCGTGCTCAGCATGAATCACTTCTTCATTTTGGGGTCTGGGATCCCTTAGGAATAATGGGGCCCGGCGATGATGGTAAGGGCGGGGGGAGAGGGAAGTGGGACAACCCCCTACTAAGAGCGCGGATTACTGCGCAAGCCTTGACGCTAACTACTCACGGCCACAGGCTACTCCTCTGAACAAAAACCAGTGTTTGTGAAAGGCTTGCTCCATGCATGCCAGTGCTATCACCTGCTGCGTAGCATGCTCAGCCAATGCAAATCCGCCGAACCCGTCCAAAGCATCTGGGGCGCAGTGAAGCTGCCTTCGGGCCTTATTTTTTGTTAACTTGCCCCCAGAACCTCCTAGCAAAAATTCGGGGAAATTTTGTTTTGAGCGGGGTTTAATTGCGTCACTTGTTTTTGCCTTCCCCCCTCCCCCTCCCTGCCGCCCCCTCCATGCCACCCCGCGTCACCTTCTATCCCATTCAGGGCCTGACAGGGCCTTCCCCACAAGTCTCCCTTCCCATTCCCCCGCATCATCTGCCCTACAACTGCAGCGGGTGGAAGGGTTGGATGCTGGAACCACAGAGGCAATCATGCTTCCTTGCGAGTTCTATGATGGGTTTACGAGGCTTTTCCACGGATACATATGCATATAGTATAAGCTGTATAATCCCGCTGATACGTGAATGGTGATTGGTTTCTAAGGTTTTATGGGATAAGCGTGTGGTTTTCAGGTCTGGCGCACAATCGATGATTCCAAGATGGTTTTGCGGCCTTTTCACAACTGCACGCGGGCTTGTTTGTGGCGGTGCCGATGAACGTGCGTTTCGGGCGGCCTGAACATCTCAATATTAGGTGCAAGCGACGACAAGTGCATTCGAGCAGCGAAATTGAAACGGACCTGATGCTTGCGTGTGGGGCACGCTTGGGGTCCAGTGTGCTTCACCCAGCACGGAAGGATTTTGGAATGATTTTTGGGGTCCCCAGAGCCTCACGAGCACAGATTCTAGCCTCAAGGCCCGCCTTGGGCCTGGGCCAAAAACAGTTTAGACTCAAGGACCGATGCTGATGATGTTGGCCAGGGAGGCCAGCATCATCAGCATAATACTGTCATTCACCATTCCGACCCCTCCTACTTCTACTATAACGTACTGTTTGTGCCCATACTCTTGCTATCGCTGTCTCTTGCTGTTGTCTGGGGAGGTGGCAGGGCCGGCCCCTGCCGCCACGCCTGAAATCGGGCAACGCCCTTGGGTATGGCCTTGGCTTCGGCAAGCACGGACGTTTTTGGAAACCCCCACCGAAGCCCATCCAAGCTGGCTCAGCAAACTTTCCAGGTTTGAGAGGGTGCCGGAAGGCCTCAAATCGCTGAAACGGAATCCCAATGATGCTGATGATGCTGGCGCAGGGCTGCTCAAAACTTAAAATGTGCCATAAACCCAAAAAGCACCCCAAATACGTACCGTGGGCAGTATTTGAAGCTGTAAATACCAGCATTGACAGCACCTGCACTGCGTGACCAGCGTAGCGTGCGAGAGGCTTTGCGTGCATTATCCAGGCCAATGCTCAGAACTGTGCATTGTGCATTTTTCTGCGGTGTTCCAGCACTTGCGAGGGCCCCTATGCTACGACTGCACACCGATTTAACCTCTCAAATATATGCAAATGTTGCTTCTGAATCGCGAAAGGGATCAAAAGGATACGTGTCGGCCAAAACATGGCTAGCCTGCTGAAAACCTTTTTGATTGTCACTTTGGTTTTTAACCCCTCCTTGTCCCAACTAAGCCAAAATGGGACACCCATTGCGTTGATGCTGCTCGCAAACGCGGCGCACGCCCCGTGCGCGAGCATCATCAGCTCAATTGGGGTCCCATTTTGTGCCGAAATAAGGACAAGAAGACCCTACATCCCTAAGAAACCATCGAACGTAGAGAGAACATCTCCCTTCACAGAGGCTTCTCACGATTTGAAGCATCCTCAGGCCAAGCGGGGCTCCGTTTTTTTGAAGGGGCCACGACCAGGCCGGCCTGTGCCGCCAGGCCCGAAATATTGTGCTGGTTGCGCTCATGGTCAAACAGGCTAAAAAAACGAATGCGGGAAATGGCCCAGGCGAGATCTTCATTTCCCAAGGACCAACGCCTGTTTCCGAGAGCGGAGCTGAAAGGAGGCCCAGAAGAGCTTAAAGGGGCGTCAAAGGGCGTTAAGGAGGCTGAAGGGGTGGCTTTACGGAAAGCTCAAGAGGGGTTAAGGGATGCTTAAAATTGTTTTTGAGGCACCGCTTACACTCCGCAAGCACCCTTGAGAAAGTGGGGAACAAGTGTGGTATAAGCATCCAGGTGGGCTCGAGCCGTGTCCTCACGATTCCGATCCTGATGGCAATTTGCTTGTTTCTTTACAAACTTCTACCAGAGAAAGCTTGCCTTTTGGAGCAAAGTTCTGAAGACGCTACACACAAGAGCGTCTGGAGGCGCCGCAAACACTGGGAGGGTTGTCGATTCCGAGCAAGAGTCGGAGGACGCTCCATGCAGGAGCGTCAGGACAGGCTGCACTGCGAAACATTAGACATGCTACGGCTTCACGTTTGAAAAAAGCGGCGTTGGCGGGTTGGGGGTTGGATGGGCCCCCCGTTTGCAAACCATTGAGGAAGGTGGCGTTGTTGATGAGAATTAACTATTAGACAGTTCATTTGTTGCTGGCAAGTGATTTCAACGGTAATGAATAACAATCATGAAAAACAATGAAGCTTGACGAGATAAGGAAGAAGCATGAAGAAAATGGAAACTGATGACATGTGATGAAAGATCATCGAACCTGATGCAAAATATATGAAAATAATGAAGCATGAATTAATGAAAATTGTGAAAAATGATGCAAAGCGATGGAAAATGGTGAAACATTCAGAAAACTTCGGAAAATGAAAGTGATTAACATCGGTTTAAACGTGCTGTGCAAATAGTGAAAACTGAAGTCATGAGAAATACAAGTCACACAGACCCATGGAAATAGAGCAAAATGATGTAAAATAATGAAACATGATGAAATCTGATGGAAATGGTGAAAGATGATGGACCCCATGCAAAATGAATTTCAACCTCATGACCTGTGAAAACTATGTAAATGATGAAATGACAAAACAGTGACATTGAAATCAGGCGCAAGCGATGATGAAAACTGCACGAAATCATAGAGAATTATGAAGAGTGACAACCTTCCTTCCGACTCGTCCCTTCTTCTTTAAGATTTTCTTTGGATATCCTCTCAGCAGAATAACTTAAGATTTTCTTTGGATATCCTCTCAGCAGAATAATTGGATTTGTTGTTGATCCTCATTTGATTCATCGCTTCCCCCTAATATCCGCCGAGGCCGGAGGCCTGGAGCGTTTAGATGCAGGGCCATTGGAAGAGCAAATTAGCCCACCCCCTACCTTCTTGCGAGGTGCAATCGGCTCGTTTTTTTCGGGTTTCTAGAGGGGTCAGGGGGGGTGCGGGTGGTTGCCTGGGTTCCGCACAGGTTGGCATTCCCCTAGGCTCCAGGAACACGAATTTCGAGTGTGGTTTGGGCCGGGACGTGGGGGGGGGCGGCGTGCAGGTTGGGGGAAGGTTTAGGCCGGGTGCCGGCTGCCCCTGCTTTGTGCTCTCAGCCCGACAGCCTTTGCCGAGCCCTAACATGAAACACGGCTTCGCCCAAATTCCAAATCCTGAAATCTGCCCCCACGACTATTTTAAAAAGGGTCAAGACTCAAGTTGATTGCGGCTCGGATCCTCTAAACTAGGGGGGTTTTAGCACGACTTAAACATGAAGGATCTGCTTGATTTCCTAGATTTTGATTGTTTTGAATGCTTTTTATAAATGAATATATCTAGAATAATTCCAGAAACAGATTTCAAGGCCCGGGCCCCAATTTGGAATCGTCCATACTAAAGCCCTGTTTTGAAATAGTCCCCAGCAAGACCCTAATTTCAAATAATCCCTAGCAATGCCCTGTTCCCTAGTAATGCCCTACTAATTTGAAATAGTCCCTAGTAAGACCCCTAATGGGAAACAGTCCCTACTAAAGCCCTGTTTTGAAATAGTTCCTACTAAAGCCCTATTTTGAAATAGTCCCTGATAAAGCCCTAATTTGAAGTAATCCCTAACAAGGCCCTAATTTGAAATAGTCCCTAGTAAGGCCGTAATTTGAAATCCATACTGAGGCCGCAATTTGAGATAACCCTTAGTAAGCCTAAGGCCTTAATTTGAAATAGTCCCTAACAAGGCGCTAATTTGAAATAGTCCCTAATAAGGCCGTAATTTGAAATAGTCCCTAATAAGGCCTTGATTTGAGATAGTGAGATAGTCCTTAATGTGGCCTTAATTTGGAATAGTCCGTAGTAAGGTCATAATTTGAACTTGTAATAAAGCGCTATTCAAATAGTCCCTAATGAGGCCCTAATTTGAAATAGCCCCTAATAATTGCCTAATTTGGAATACTCCTGTAATAGATCTTATTAATCGATTTTTGTACAATTTTGCTAATCAGGTTTCAATAGCCCCCCCTAATGTTCGGGTCGTACGATAAATACCTCCCCCAAACATTAAATACGGTTCCGAGTGTTTACATTCGGGGGTAGGGGGAGCCCTTTAATATTAGGGGGAGACGATTATGTGTTGATCCTTATTTGAGTTTTTGATCCACATCCCTTCTGCCGGGGTGAGGCAGATGTCATGTATTCTCGAACAGTTGGAAATGCATGCGAATGGAAGCATCGAATGCACAGACAAATCGCAGAGGCAAGAGTTTGTGCCGCAAATACGTGGGTTCTGTTGCGCTGCCAAGCCCCCCGTGAAGCTCAGGCCCAGACCTTTGGTAGCAGGTTTGCCACGGAAATTGGTAGCGAAGATCCACGCGCTGACAACATGTCCAGCAACATTTTCTCCTCAACGCGGAAATTCCGCAAGTGGTCCAGAAAGTCCTGAGCCAACTCTTTCTAGGCAATGCTGCCATGCTCGATCTCTTCAAACCACATGCACGGCTATCTTGAAGCCTGAAGGTGATACGCAGGGCGCGGCGTCATCACAAAGTCACCAAGGATGTATCCGCGTGGCATCCCTAAAACAGCGCATGAAACAGTGCTGCCATCAGCCTTGAGTCGGCGCTTGCCTTTTGAAACATACACTAAACATCCTCTCGACGTGAAGTGGGAGTACACCGCAACAAAAGTTTTCGACAACGTCTGAAGGGGACCCAGCAATTCTGTTGAGTGGCCGCTCTCGTGTCAACGGCTTCGGCGCGTTCCAGGACACAGTCCGGCAGAGCATGTCGCACGCAGGGGTGCGCACTCAGCGCTCCAGTCATGTGTGCTTAGCGATAATCTTTTGAACTGCACCACTCAAAATACTCACACGTCCTATAGTGCCTATGAAGCCCGATTCCAGCTAGCTCGCTAACCTGCACAACCGAGCAAAGCAAAAATCTTATCTCCTTAGAAATCTTGTTGCTACAATTTGCTTGTGTACATCTCTGCTTTGCCCATGGAATCTTCTCTCATCTCTGTAAGGTGCCTTCGCAAGGGGCAGTGGTATGTTGTTTAGGCCCAGTATGTGTGACTTTCCTTGAACGCAATATCAGCTTCACGCAATTTGCTTGGGAGACAGTGAATGCTGCGGGGCGCACGTGCCTGGCAGGGGCCACCAAACCCATCTAGCAAAGCAAAGAAGAAACAGGGAGAGACAGGGAGAGAGAGTGAGAGGGCTCAAGTCTTCCTGTCAATCCTGTCTCTTTGGGAGGTAAGGGCGCAAACATCTGGCTACTGTCTCCGTTTAAAACCCCTGTTTGCAAGTTTCGTTTTGTTCCGTACCTAGCCTAGGTCTTGCTGTTGTTGACAAGGCTCAAGCTTCGATGGGCCCCAGACTTGTTCCTGTAGCTTGTCAAGGGATTCACTCGCCATGCTTCCCTCATCATCCACAGTTGCCTTTTCTCTCACCTTGCAGCACTTCATCCCAACAGTCCACTGTAGCTTCACCACCTCATGCCAAGCCCTTGCCAGTGCTGGAAAATGCAAATGCCAATATTGAGTCCCCCTGGTATCATGCTACTCTGCAGAGCCTGAGTTTGAAGGCTGGACTCCGGGGCTGCCGACAGGACGACCAGAGTAAGAGCTGCAATTGGAGACGGCACCAAAACCTTGAATCTCGTAGAGCTTGATATTATGGCGGCTCGAACACGAATCAAGGTTGCTTGGTTGGTTTTTCTACATTTCTCAAAGGTACTGCTGTTGTACTCGCCGACTGCTTCGCAGTGGCTAAACTATGGCTTTTGATTTATTCGATGGCCTCTGCTACACCTGTGACCAGCGCTCGAAATCAGTGTGCATCTCCATGCTGCTCACAGCATATTACAAAACAGCTGATTGAATGATTGGCCAGGCATAGCTGCCATCTTTGAATTCCAGTTCACACCATGCTGTCGCATGTAGGAGATGTAGGAGCAGTCGGATCATCATGGCTGGCCCTGGCCACCTGAGAGCCAAGAACAGCAAAGCAAGTGCCAACCTGCCTCGCATGCTACTCTTCAAATAGCAAGCTAGCAGCTTCTGCAGATTTGCTTTTACTCCGGCGCCTCGTGACTTGTGAAGAGGTGCTCCATGTCGACAACATCACTCGTGTTGGACCTCTTCTTGAGCATGGTCTAGACTGTGTTCTACCTCTTGTGAGGCCGGTGAGAATATGTGATCAGCTTTTCCGGCTTTTCCTGCCTGGACATAGGGATTCCACTGTCACTCCAGCCATCTGCCCAGGCGAGATAGCCAGCCCTGAAACCAACATTGATGAGTGACATGGCCATGATAGTGAAGAAGCCCTGGCACGAGCAGCCTGCCTGCATCAGGCTGCTTTGCAATTGTAGCAGAACACTTCTGAGATCCACACCGCTTCTTCCTGACTCCCTCAGTCCATCCGTTCCAGCCATCGCCCCAAGCCTTTCAAGCTCGAAAAGCTGAAGAAAACAGATTTAGAGCTTGTCATGCGGGTCTGCATGCTGGCACCGCAGGTCCGTTGCAAATCTGAAATTTGTGCACATTTTGAGGACCTGGCAGCACACCGGCTTTCGACAGCACGGGCAATGGCTGCCATTCCAAATGAACCTAAAGCTGATATAGACTGATAGCCGAGAATCTCTTGCACTTCAGTTGCTAAGCCTGCTTTTTGCATTGCCAAGAGGCTTGTTGACTCTCGGCTTGCTGTCTCAGCAGGGTCCTGAGCGCTTCAGGCCGCTTGATGCACAATGAACTTCGTTCAGATCCTCAAGCGCACGATGTCTTACATAAGGGTATATGCAGATATATGACCTTCGGTCGAAAGTAGCCTAAACTGCAAAAGAATACCTCAACCCATCTTGTATTTCGGTAGCTTTGCTCCTGTACCGGGAAAAGCAATGGCTGCGATGACTCGCTGATGAGATCCTGCACCAGAATGGCTGGTACTGCGGCCGACGTTGAACATGATGCGATCAGGTGTTTGAAGCTGAGGCATGCAGCTTCAAAGGTCTCAGGTGCGAAAGATTGCACAAGGTTGCACAAGCGCCCGTCACCTAGCTTACAAACCGCGCATCGACGGACAAGCGCACGATCAGGCACTGATTCGCTCAGCACGGCTAGATTACCTTGCATTGCTTTGTTATGTTTGCTTCTTACTTGATCCAGGCAAACGTTACGATGCATTACAAGATATGAAAGGCAATAAGACTTGCCCCAAAAGAGGGCTGCCGTAGAGGCCCGTGCTGAATCTGAACTTCCCGCGACTGATCAGAAAACCAAACTCCCAGCCCTTCAAGGATTTCTGACACACACTTCCATATAGGACCTGCTTCCTTGCTTCTCCATGCCAAGCCTGAGGCGCTCAGTGGACCGACTTCCGCATGGCTATCGTGTGTCTGGAGCGCACGCAGGTCCAAAAATTGAGAAGCACTTGGGTTTGGCATGCAAATCATGCAATGGCATGCACGAATCCCAATGGCAGCTACCAGCTCATGGTTACGGCGATTGCACGAGCTATGTGGCACAGGCAATGCAGTGTTTGGCCATTCAGCCTGGAAACAGCAAGCGACGCAGTGAACTGCCCAGCTGGCAAGACACCAAAACAAGAATCAGCAAAATGCACGCTTGCCAGTGCACACAAATCGGGCAGCACAAGTCCTGGTCGTTCATCACGCTATTTCGATTCGTTTGCGGCGTCTCTGAGAAGGCGCTCTCTTCCTGGAAATGTGCAACTTTGACGGATTCCGCATGTGGCAATGGCAAGTCAATCGATGCCCGTCCTGTCCAGAGCGCTCGCTAGCAACAGGGCCCAGTCCATCGGAGGAGGGCAACTTCAGGCTGATGGGTGTTCGGTGCGAGGCCTTCAGTCGTACGAAATCATGTCGCACTACCCTCTTCTCACATCTGCGCCTTGTGTGACAGATTTTCAGACATAGATCGCCGAGGACGAACCTCGCTCATAGCCTGCTCCGGGATCTTCACAGCCACGTCCTGTGCACTCTCACCTACTCTCGTTAGCAGAGTTTGTCGGATCTTGGCCTCATTCTTCTCAAGATCATCATCCTTCATCGCAGCCTTTGACACCGCTGAAGAAAAACGGATTCCCTACTGCGGATGAAAATTTATCCCGCAACTTCAACATGGCAAATCTCTATGATTTGATGACCGCCAGTGATTCACGGTCTCAGCTTACCTGGTGAGGCCAGATCATGGCAGGGGCGTCATGGGGGCTGAAGACAACAAAGATAACACAGGCCAGATGCAACCTGAAACGCCCTCCCTGAGTAGTTTGTTAGTTGCGCCTCAACTCCGCCCTTTGCAACATTGAACGCATCATCTGTGCGAATCCTAACAGTAACATCTGAGTTTGCGCACGCAGCGTGTCCCTTTGGCTTCATTCACAGCTCAGCCGCAACTGGGTCTAAAAGCTCCCTGGACCTGTTCCCAAGTCCGGTTTCCCCTACATCAATGATGGTGTACTCAGTCTTTCTTTGGCCGTCTGCCAGCATCGGGGACTCCTCGCCCAAGCTCGAGATCAACTGCATCTCTCTATCTGTGAGGTTAAACGACCACACACCTCTGTTTTCGGCGATGTGATCTTTGCGCCGGCTCTTGGGGATCACTTGGAAATCCATCTGAATTGCCCAACGCAGAAGCACCTGAGCAACACTTTTCGCACGAAAGTCCTGAAGTGCAGGAAAGGATTGGAGTATTTTGCTTTGAAGGGCCTCCCCGGAATGGAAAGGACTGGCAGACTGAACAAGGATTCCCTCCTGTTTGCTCCAGTCAATCACCTTCTTGTGTCGGTGCCAGTTGAGTGGGTTTATACCAAGTTGCAGAACGTCCGGAAGCACCCTCCCGTGGGACTTTAAGGATTGCAGATGGACGAGCTCGAACTCACAAACTCCCAGGCTCCTGACCAAACCCATCTTTCTCATCTCTATCATGGCATCCCAGGTCTCCATGATTTTTCCAGGAGCGGGGGAGGCCATCATGTAGAGATCCACGAAATCCATGCGCAGCTTTTGGAGAGTCTGGCGAATGGCACGATGGGCTTCCTGAAACCCATGTTCAAATAGCCTTGTAGAGAGAAATAAATGGGAGCGAGGAGTGCTGGATTGGCGGATGGCCTGCCCGGCGATCGATTCGTTCCCCACAATATCCAGCATCCGGTAGCCAAAGCTTGTGGACCAAGCAATTGAGCCTTGTGGCTCCTCTACGGGAATTTGCAAGCCGAGGGTTGGCATGGAACGGCCGTTGCGCAAGGTTTTCTCTGTCTCCCAAACAGTTGCAGCAGAGATGGCACAGCAAACGCTGCTCAGCAGGACGGGGCTCGAGCATGCCCCTGGCACGCGACCCTTCAGCACCATCAGTCAACCGAAAGATGGCTAACTTGGACTGAAAGCTTCTCAAAAGCAGACTCTCACACAGATCCATGCACTGACAAGATTGGCATCAGTCAAAGCATCAAGAAGCTAGTAGCTGAGGATCCGACCGAATGCAACGAGTGCACAGGAGACTCATGGAACTCCTGAACGAAAGGCATGAAGACATTCGAAGTCAGACTTCATGGATGGTTGCACTTTGCACTAGAAATCTCTTCCGTATCAATCAGAACAGCGACAAGTTGTGGCAAAGTCCTCGTGAACAGTCTCAAGGTCCGGGCTGGAGTGGACTCGGCTTATGGAATGGCAGCCCAGCCTCGGAACGTTGCTACAAATTGCAGGAGCAGGGAGTTGCCGGCAGAGGGCGGCACGTTGTCCACAATTTCTCCCACCAGGTTGTGTGATCGAGCCCAGACGCAGCCTGAGCAGCATGAGCTGCAAATGCTGCAAGTGCAGGTGCAAAAGCACAGCGGGCGCAAGCTTGCCTTCTTTGGGCGTGCGGCAAGCCCGTTTGCTGGCCTTTCAGCGCTAGAAACGGTTCCATGAGAAGCCATCGAGCATACGCAAGCAGCAGCTGAGTTGCGGACGCAGAAACAGTTCGCTGTGGTGATTCCCTGGTGACAGGGCTCCATGTCTACAGATTGGCAGAGCATGGCAGAGCTACCTGAACTGGCTCAGGCCATGGCCGCGGAGATGCGAGTCCAAGCCTTTGCAGCACCAAGTTTTCGTCATCCTCCCAGGCAGCTTGTTGGGCATAGCTCAGGTGCTAAGGGGAGGCATGTACCGCAAAAGTGGGATGAGTGACGGCGCTCTGCACTTATGGTTTGCAGCAGCGTGTTTCAACATCTCTTTTACTGCCCCTTTGAATATGCTGTCTCTTGCGTGCGGTCTTCCACAAGTTCTAGGTAAAGAGTCAATACGAGTTGACTGGCGTGCCTTGCTAATGCTGCATAAAAGACCGTCAACACATAAGCAAAGAGAGTGCTCCAAAAGACGCCCACCAGCTGCGTCTTTGTGCCAGATCTTATGGCCAAGTGGGTCATGCTCTGCCATCTGTATGTGTGCCTATAATAAAGTGCGCCAGTCTGAAAAACTGCCCAACATGCAAGGCGAGCAGAGCTTGGCCTGAGCACTGGAGATGTAAATGGCAGTCCGCGCAAGATGGGGTGATCGCATATTTCCGGACAACATGCTGCCCCTGCTTAGAGCAAGTTGGAGGCGGCTTGCACAAAGAATGCAGGACAAGTTCTGGGCTACCTTAGCTAGGGTGATCTTGGCGTAAGAGGGGCTTCTTGCAACCACAATCTGAGGAAGCCAGGAAGCCTCCGGAGGCTCGATCATAAGCCACTGCAAGTCGTAGTGATCGAAAGTTGCAAGCAGGACCAGAGCCGAGAAATAGTACCTGCAGAAACTGAGGATAGCGAAAGGGCAAGACTACTAAAAAAAAGTGACCGTCTTCCTGACTCTGCATGGGACCGATGTCTGATTTCAAATGCTGAGCGGAAGACCCCTTCTGCCAGTACTCAAGCCAAATCCTCGCAGGACTGCCACGTGCTGCGCTGGAAACTCGGGGCTGGGCTGGGCTCAAGGCTCTTTGACCAGTCGAGTCATATAAGCCTGGCATGAGGCAGAAATCCAATTTGTTGGGAGGGGGCAACCTTCTTGAATGGAAGGGCATCAAGGCTTCAGTCCTCCGAAGGCTTCACAGTGTGAAGAGCTTTCCAAGTTTGAGGGCTTGGGGTTTTGGAGTGTAGGGGCCTGAAAGGCTACTAGGGTAAAAGACTTTCGTGGTCTGAAGGGCAGGCATGACGGCTTCAGGGCCTCTACAGGCTTTAAGGGTTGGACTTTACAGTGTTTAAAGATTGGCAAGGCTCAAAGGCTAGACCTTTGGGCGGGGGGTTTTAGGGTCTGGATTTTTCAATGGTGTTTGTTGTCAGCTTTGGGTTTTGAAGGTGTTTGAGCTTAAAGGGTCTTAAGCATTTTCAAGGTTTTAGCGTGTGCGTGTTTAGGTTTTGCGGTTGGGGGTTTGGAGCTTTAGGGTTTAAAGGCTGCAAGGGTTGTTAAAATATGTAGAGTTTGGAGATTGGGTTGTTAAGGGTTATGAACTTTCGGGTTTAAGAGTTCAGGGCTTGAACGGCGTGAAGGCTTTCAAAGGGTATTCGGTTTCAATTTATCAGAGCTTATTGGCTATTATTACAGCTTGAGGATGGTGTTTTAGGAAATGAAGGGTTTCAAGGTGTTTTGGGGATGACTTTAAAGGCCTTAGGGATCGGGGCCGTTAAGGTTCAAGGCTTGCGGGGGTTTGAGTTTCAGTTGTTTGATGTTGGCTCGGTTCATTTGGTCTTTAGTTTTTACGGTTTAGGACTTTAAGGCTTTGAGCAGTTTTTGTTTGGATGTTTGGAGGCTAAAAGTTTTGAACCCTTTTTGTCTTGTAGGGTTTGGGCTTTGGCATTCCGAAATTGAAGGCTTTATGGTTCTTGGTTGCAACTTTGAAGGTTTGAGGATTTGGCACATGAGGGGTTTCAGACGTTTCAAGATGTGTTCAAAGCCTTTTTCTCGGGCTTTAAGTTCTGGGGCGTTAAGGGCTTTGCGGTTTTCGATAATTTGTTTGGGGCTTCCAGGATTGTGCGTTTGGGCAAGGCGTTTAAGGCTTCAAGGGGCGTAAGGCTTTAGGAATTCCTACAGGCTTTGAGGTTTCAAATGCTTTTGCGGTTTTAAGTTTTGAGGGTTGACTGTTTCCAAAGTTTTAATAAAGGTCACGGTGCCCAAGGTTTAGGCTTTTTGGATTGTGAGTTACAGGATTTAACTCATAAGGTTTTACGGATTGAGTTTCTCCAAAATTTGGGGTTTGGGTTGTTAGTTTCTGGGGTGTTGTTCGATATGAATTACGGAAAATGATGTTTCCCATGGCGTGCGCCATGTGTGTTTGTTTGCTTGCTGCTGTTCCCACCAGCCACGGTCCCTGTCGGTAGAGAGGTCCAGTAGCCGTCTGCGGCCGACAAACCGCATAAAATACCCATGACTCTCCTTCACGCAGGACGCTGCGGTGCGAGGACGGGAAGAGCGTCCAAGGACCCACCTGAGCCTGCTCGATCCAGCTGCTGCATCTTCTTGCCGAGCGGCGTATTGATCTGTAGAAGGTGAAAGATCCCCGGCAAGCAAGCGCATCCAGCTCCTGCACGTCGGTGCCTACGGGCAAATTGAGAACAGTGCGGGCCCGGGTCACAATATTGACATTACCTGTATACTCTGAGCTTTGTTCTGGCCATGCTCCCCACGCACAGGAGCTGACACTTGGCAGCCTGGGCCTGCACAACCAAGCCGTAGTTGGCCAACCTGGCCATAAAATGCCGTACGGAGATCCATTACACCGACCTGATCCCGGCACTGTCCCCTGCCAGAGTATGATGTCATCCATGCAGCAGCCGCCCGACTGCAGCAGCGAGTCCAGAATTGGGGCGGCCAGGACAGGGGGGCCAACTCCTGCAGCACAGAATCCATAGTCTGGAGGGGAAGAATCGGCGACGCTGTAGAGCCGTGCTTGACCCCTGATCTGCAGTGAAGAAAGTCTCTGCGGCCCCCCGTCGCACCACTCGAAGATTTTTGCCCCGAATCGGACCGCCCAATGTAGAGGTCACAAGCCTTAGCAGCCATCTGCCTGGAGCCTCAGTTTCTGTACAGCCTAGAGAGACAGCCTAGAGAGACAAGTAACCTGGAATGTTTCGACATGCGGCTGGCCGAGGCTATACGTCGCAGCTGCCATGGCATTGGGGGGCCCTGTGGTTTGGGCAGAAAATTAACACTAACTTGCCCCATTCTTGGAGGACGACTCTGTCTCTGAGGAAACCATCCAATAAGTCTGTCACATGTCCGCTGGACTGCGGTTGCGCTTTGAGGAGCTCACAGGGGACCATAATGAGTTTCCTGCTTGCGTGGCTTCCCTCTCTGGATGGCCTGCTGTAGCTCCTCGTCCGCTTGGGGTAGAAAAAGCATTTGTGCTACTTTTGCTTTCATCACGCCAACTTCTTCTTCAATGTTTACCCCTGGGCTCTCAATGAAGACCCTTGGAGGTTCCTTAATTTCTTGGGCCGGATCAGGTAAGGTATGGTAAGATGCTCTGAGTAGGTGAGCCTCCTACACGCGCACCAATCTGATCTAGCACCTTCCAACTGCTGACGCGTCCAGTTTTCCCTTTATCTTGTTCGCTGTTGCGCTACACTTGATGGCTGGTCCCGAATCCCTTGATGTTGAGGGCTGCCTTTTGCCTGACCAAATCTGCGAGAACCTTCTGGTCGATAAAAGCCTGCAAGTAACTGTAGCAGTGAAAACGCGGGCCGGCTCTTCTTGCGTTTCTTCACCTCCCCTTTGCCTCTGAAAATGACCTGGACACCTGCCTGCGGTCCATCCCGACAAGAGTTTTGCTAGCCACTTCAATATGTGCTGTAGCCATTGCATCTTCTGAACAAAACTGCCATCTTTTTGAACATTTGACTTGCCCTGATTCCTGATCTTTAGGTCACGAAGGCGGGGGCATCCAACACTCCTTTGTAGCGGGACTTAGCTGCAACCCTCGCTGCCCAAGCGCTGTTTTGACCTCTCCCCCAGCGCGTCGCGACCCTGGACCCCTTCATCAGAGCACACGCAGGTGATTCAGACGTAGCCCATCCGTGAACTGGGACAGTAGCCTTCTGAACTCTTCAGCTAGACGGAAAACAACTGGGCTTTCCCCGACGCGCTAGGAAAATTCATTGGCATGGAGACGAAGACAGTTGACGATGCGTGGCAGGAAGCTTTGCAGGGAAGCAGCTGACGCGAAAGGGACAGCCTGCAGGGGCGATTCTCGGTGAAGGGTGCGAGAAGGAGGCCACAGGCAGCCACCAATCCTTGTTTCCACGCGTGGGCTCGTCGCCGACAAGTGGCGCGAGTCAGGGCCATCAGCGAACCAAGCAAAGTTTCTCGCTGCGATGCGCAAGTCTCACGGCAGGACACAGGAATGTAGGCCCAGCAAAATGTATGGCCATCTTGCAGTGGTGCGAATTGCAGAGAGAACTGCGGTGTTTGATAACCCATCCCTTCAAAAGACACATCTTCCCCGATTAGGCCAGGGCAATTGCGCAAGCACAACGACCGCTCAGCACTGGACGTGTTGGACTCTGCCTCTAACAAGTCACAGCTGTTGATGAGCGAGTGATTCCAGCATGGAAAATCCTCCGCGGCGAGACTTCCAACGTGACCTATGTTTGCAGAGCAGAGGCAACAGATCACACACAAAGTTCGACGCAAATCGCAACCCAACAGTCGTTGAAGAAGGTTTTCTTCTGTTTCTGGAACGTCACAGGGATGAACGAAAGGCAGGTCTTTGTGACGATGGTTTGTGTTTGTAGGCACGACCTGTCGGCTATCCAGCCGTACCTCGAGGACGAGCAGGGATGACAAACAGTCGACCTTGAGAGTGTGGAGGGATGGATTTTCAAGGACGTTATCACTTACCGCGGCGCGCGCACGCATCAAAAAGAAGAGGCTGCAGGGTGGGGAACCTGGACGCAGGTGAAGCGCTTGGCCTCAGAAAAAGAATTCTGGGGTGGCTCGGCTCACCTGCCCTTGAGGAGTCACATCAGAAGTGCCCAGGCGACTTGCGGAGCCCAACAGCTTGCCACACAGCCACAGGGAGGCTTTGCCACAGTGGCTTTCTGTCTCTGGGACTCCTACTTCCAAGGCGTGCAGAACACTTCGAATCTTGCATGCGCGCGAGCTCTTGGTTCACTTCGTTCTCGACGATGGCTCCTTGCAGTGACTGCAGCCCACACCGGACTGCTCTGGCCTCATTGATCAAGAACACGACGCAGAGCATGCTTGCTTATGCGACTTCTGGCCTCTCCAGCCCTGCAGCGAAAGGACGTCAAGTCAAGGCAACCCATCTTCTGGGCCCCGAAGTCCAGGCATCTTCGTCTCAAGCAGGCTCTCCGTCTAGAGGCGACCTTGCCGATTGCAGCACCCAAGCCAACTCCTGCAGGATGAGTGGCGCGGGGTGTGTTTTTCAGCCATCCTCCGAAGCCCGGTCTAGCCGCCGCGTCGATCGGAGCTCTGTTCTTTGCGAATATTGCCCTTGACCTCATGCATGTATTGCAACTCCTTCTTGACTTCACCCGGAAAGTCCTGGAGCATGGCACGTTTGCCCTTCTCAGACATCCCCGTAGCTTTGATGACTGCGGCCGTGAACTCTTCCCGCTTCACACTGGTTCTTGGCATTCTCCCGAGCCTGCTTTGACAAGAGCTGTTGCACGGCATCCACCGTTAGCTCTTCACCACGGCGGCGCTTGGCTGGTCTAGGCGGAGGCGCTTGGCTTTTTTCGCACGGCAAAGGCATTGATGGCACAATCTCTGTTGTTTTGCCCGTCCTTGCCATAAATTCCCGCCCACTCAGCCAGATCTGGCCGTCACACGCTCTGCTCCAAGACGATGCCCTTACCGAGAATCCCCACCAGGAATGCGAAAGCTGTGATTGTAAGGCAACCTGACTCGCCAAGCACCTCAGTAAGGAGCAGAATCGAGGCTTCCGTTGCAGCCGGGCCCCAGGCCCAAGGAGCAGCACCGCCAGGTGGCTCAAGGGCGGCTTT